TTAGGTTTGAGGATGGAGTTGTAAACTGCGTTGCCCAATGGTACCTGACATTGCTGTAAACATCATCACAACACTAACATACTACCACATCCTATGAGAATCACAGATTAAGAAAATAAAATCAGAGAATGAAGTAATTTTGTGTAATATAAGACCTTTAACACACAAATCCCACAAATTGAAGCAGAGTTCGTCTCTCAAACAGAAAACACTCTGTTCTACCTTGTGATGTCATGTGGTTAGACAGGAAGTGCTCCAGTGTGTTTTTAAACTCCATAAACCTTCACTAAAATCATGTGGATAATCAGTCCTGCGATTGCCCATCTACAGAACACAAGATGTAGACAGTTGGGATGTAACAATATCCAAATCTCACGGTACAACATTTTCACGATATACATCTCATGGTACGATATTTACTGTGATATTTCTTGTGAATATGCTGCTTTTTCCACTTAAAATGCCTTGACAAAACTTAAAAGTGCTTAGAACTGTTATTTCTTGATGAGCGAAACAGCAAAGGATCATGGTCGATGTAGTTCTCTCTGTTTTTTTAGCTACTGCTGCAACATAACAATGAATTTAAGCAAAGAAACTTGTGATTCGATATATTGTGACAGCCCATAATATTACTTACATAATATGACTTTTGATGATACAGTATCACGATATTTTGGTTATTTTTACACCCCTAGTAGACAGACTTATAATAAAGGATTACTCAAACATGTGTGAATCAAATAAAAAACACAACTCCAGGTCTGTTTTTGAGGCGGTAACAACATTATAACATGACTTATAAGACAGATAAACAAGAGTAAATGTTGTGTTATATCAGACCTTTAAACCTGAACTGCAGCTCGTACTAAATACAATAAACCGAGAATACAATTTACTGCAAACTAGTCGTAGCTCCAGCCTTAGCTCCGCACAGCCCCTCGGCTCACATCGCAGCAGCGCGAGTGGCACTGGAGCGGGCACTGAACAGCCGGCGTGGGGGTCCCGGGTCCCTCAAGAGGATGGCACCGCAGCGGAGCAGGTGTGAGGAGGGGTACGGGGGAGTTGGCAGGGAGGTGGGACATCCTGATACTGAGTTACTGTAGAGGAACTGCCTAATGAGGTACCAGGAGAGGGACAAGTGAATCATGATCAGATCTGCGGAAATTAGGGAATCGGCGGGATCACCTGACCAGCCAAAACCACGCGCTTTGACAAAACGTTACAAAGACGAGCGGATCTGGAGCTGTATCTTGTCTCCCTGATTTTAGAGGGTGTGATTGACAGGCGGATTAACCAATCAGAGAGACACATGCTCCGTACATGTCAAAAGCATTGCTGCTTAAACGTAAAAAAAGAGAAAAACAAGAGCGCAGATTTTCTCAGAATCAACAATCGAAGCATCAAACCTTTACTTATCTCTGGTAAAATAAATTTTTTCTAAATGTAACAAGTTCGGACAGATGTTTTTTATGCTCTATTGTAAAAACTTTTCTGGATTTGATCAGAATGTAGAAGTGTGCACAGATTTTAGGGGCACGGAAAGGCGAGAGATTTAAAGATGGGGAGCTTTTTACCATGTTTGAATGTTGTTCCCTGATCAAAAACATGTCTGAAGAGGTTTTAGATGTCATCCATGCGTGTTTGAGTAATGCAGCGATCTCTTCCGGGGACTATTCAAACCACTACACTTCAACTTCACAAACCTGATGCGATGTGCAGTAGTTTCAGTAGCAAAATGCATTTTCGATTGTAAAGTGATAGTGCTCTGAAGGGGGAGTGAGTTTACTCAGAGCATCAAAAATGAAACTGAAATGAATATAGCATTTTCAAAACAATAAAAGGAAACATGGTGATCTCAATATGTTATGTGCAGAATATTCCCTCTAAGAAAGTGGTCTATTATTATTAGAAGTATTTGTACAAGATTTTACGAAAGCAGAGGAAAGACAAAGGAGAGAGAGGGAGGAGGGAAAGGAGAGGGTGAAGAGAGAAAGGAGGAGTGAGAGGACATAAGAAGTAAGAAGAGACAGAGGACAGAAAAGAAGTTAGGAGAGAAAGAGGAGAGACAAGGACAGAAGAGGAGAGAAGTTAGGACACAGAGAGAGAAGAGACAGAGGACAGAAAAGAAGTGAGGAGAGAAAGAGGAGAGGAAAGAGGACAGAAGAGAAGAGAAAAAGAGAGAGAGGGGGGACAGAAAAGAAGTGAGAAGAGAAAGAGAGAGGACTGAAGGGAAGAGAGGAGAGAGACAGGACAGGAGAGGAAAGAGTACAGAAGAAAAGTGAGGAGAGAGGGAGGAGAAAGAGAGGACAGAAGAGAAGAGAGGAGAGAGACAGGAAAGGAAAGAGGACAAAAGACAAGATAGGAGAGAGACAGGTGAGACAGAGAACAGAAGAGAAGTGAGAGAGGTGAGACAAGGACAGAAGAGAAGAGACAAAGAGAGAGAGAGAGAGGACAGAAAAGAAGTGAGAAGAGAAAGAGAGAGGACTGAAGGGTAGAGAGGAGAGAGACATGAGAGGAGAAAAAAGAGAGAAGAGAAGGTGAGAGGTGAGAGAGGAGAGACAGAGGACAGAAGAGAAGTTTTGAGAGAGAGAGAGAGAGAGAGAGGAGAGACAAGAACAGAAGAAAAAAGAAGTGAGGAGAGAGACGAGGGGACAGAAGAGAAGTGAGGAGAGAAAGAGGAGAAAGAGAGGACTGAAGAGAACACAGGAAAGAGACAGGAGAGACAGAGGAGAGAGGACAGAAGAGAAGTTAGGAGAGAGAGAGAGAGAACAGAAGAGAAGAGAAGTAAGGAGAGAGAGACGAGACAGAGGACAAAAGAGAAAAGAGAGGACATAAGAGAAGAGAGGAGAGAGAGGGAAGAGACAGAGGACAGAAGAGAAGTAAAGAGAGAGACAGGAGAGAAGTGAGGAGAGAAACAGGAGAGGAAAGAGGACAGAAGAGAAGATAAGAGAGAGAGAAAGAGACAGGACAGAAGAGATGAGAGAGACAGGAGAGGAGAGGAAAGAGAGGACATAAGAGAAGAGAAGAAAAAGAGGAGAGAGAAGGGACAGAAGAGAAGAGCAGTGAGGAAAGAGTAGAGCACATTTTTTTCGTATTAGTTAAACTGGCAGATATTGGGCTTGTGGAGTGGGACAGAACATCATATTAGAGGAAAACGTATTTAATTTAGTGAATATGGTCAAAATCCAAAAGGGTTAGTGTCATCTGTCCCTTTAAATCTGCTCGTCTCTCGTCTTCGGTGGGACACAGAGGTGGGACGTGTCTCCTGTCTCACTCCTGTATCGTGCAGTGTTACGAAGCCACTCGCATGAAACACAAGTCAGTCGCCTGGATGCCTCTGTGTTAATGAAGGCCATCCATCACTCCATCTCTCCTCTCTCTTTCTCTCCTTCCTCTCTTCTGTCCTCTCTCTCTCTCTATCAACTTCACAAATCTGACGCAATGTGCAGTAGTTTCATTAGCGAGCTGCATGCTGATCGTAAGGTGATAATGCTCTGAAGGGGGAGTAACTCAAACGTGACTCTTAATAATACAGTGTTTATGGTGAATATACACGGATTATTTGTTTATCAGCACAGCGGATACGCGCGCAACCTGAGTGCAGAAAGCGCCGCTGTCTGTGCGGTTTACATGAAGTTGCAATGGAGGCTAGAGATGTTGTCATTGCACTAAAACAGTTTATCGCCGTGTGATAAAACAAGTTACTGTATTTTTTGGACTATAAAATACTGCACTTAAAATCACTTAATTTTCTCAAAAATCGACAGTGCGCCTTATAATCCGGTGCCCCTTATGTATTAATTCTGGTTGTGCTTACTGAACTTGAACTGATTTTGAATGAATGAATGAATGTTTAAAAAAACGTAAATACATAGATATAACAAAAAAAGTAACTATTTCTATTCTATAATAACAGGCAAAATAAATGTTACGCCGAATTTTCCTTGTGTCTGAAAAAGGAGTGTGATTTTATGTGGTACACGGCGCTCAAAAATCTGTCAAAATGTTTTAGTATGACTTTGGTAAACTATGAAGCCGCACCGCTTGATGGATTGTCGGAGCATTACAGCTACCACAGTCAGGAGCCTCGTGGAGTAAAGGGTGAAGCATAGTTCTGCGTCGGCATTTATGACATCACTGAAATGCTACAGAGAATATATGTCCATTCATTCTATGAGTATGATCTGCAGACTTAGTCCGACAGAAGCGGACCACATCAGCGCACAAGGAAAAACCTGTTTTTTTTCAGTGCTTATTGTTTATGCAAATGAGCCATGTGGTTTTAAGTTTTGTTTCTGTAAAACGTAAACAAATGTGCGCAAAGCTGCATTAAACACATTATTACTCAATGTATATTTGAATCCTCCTCGTAGGAAATAAAAAACAAACTTAAAGGATCCACCCAGATTCACATTCATAATCCACATTCACCAAGACAGGGAGGCAACACCGAGCGAATTACGCCACGATCTGACAACGGATCACGGACGCCTGGACTAAGGGATCAGTCTCAAGTGTCGTCCGTTTGTTTCGCTTAATACGCCTTATAATTTGAGGCATCTTATGTATGAAAATAGATGACAAAATTCAACATTACTGATATTGCGCCTTATAATCTGAAAAATCCAGTATGATGCTAAATTAACATGAGTAAGCGGGGTACGTCTTAAAAACCCGTATGCGTTAAATGCGGGTGAGTGCGTAAATGACGAGAAGAAATGGCCCAAACTTCAGTAGCCGGGCGTCCACTTACACCTGATCGATACAACTAGCCCCGGGAGAGCCTGAAATCTGCAGAAATCCTACAAAACACTGACATGATACCAGACAGGACAGCGGATCTTTCTGCAGGAGACATGCGACAGACCGCAAACTGACATAGCCTAATAGTGCTTCTCTAAGGTTTTCAGAACAATAAAAGGTAACATGGTGATCTAAATATGTGTTAGTAGTTAAGCAGACTGGGGTAAACTGGGGTAAACGTCTGATCCGGTACTCACCCGTCCCACTTCCACCAGGTTGGTCACCATGACGATCGCTGCCGTGTTCTCCTGCCAGACCATCCTCCAGAAGTCGAACACCGTCTCCTGCATCGGCCCTGGGAAACAGAAACATAAAAGATGAAACTTTGATGGGTAAAAATATTGGTGAAATCTTGAAATATCTCTGCTGTAAAAAAAAAAAAGTAAATAAGAGTTCAAATAGAGAGATGGTATCGCTTTGTCGGTAATGCTCCATAGTATGACATTAAATTAATCTTAAACTGTAACTTGCAGGGAAAAAAAAATAAGTTCACCTCAATCATCCTCATACATTTATTTAGAAAAAAGAGAAGTGTCTTGCCAAACGCTTAATGCTCCAATAAATGTCAAATTAAGATAGAGGACACTTGGCTGTTCAATTTGAGGACTTTTATTCTAGTTAAAAGGTTTGAGAATTTTGGTTTAAATTGTTAATCGCTATAGCAACAGTCCTAATTTCTAATCATTTTTGAAACCCATAGATATATGAATTTAAAATGGCTATATTATGCTATTTTCTGATCTATTTTGTGTATCGGGAGTTGTGTTTTGTTTCATTCACACATGGTTAACGCACAAATCCTGCATATTTAGACTGAGTTTTTCGCTCAGACAGAAACACAGGAAGTGCTCCACTGTGTTTTCAAACTCCATACACCTTCACTAAGAATCATTTGGATGATTTCAGCCCTGGAATTGCCAATTTCTGCTGAAGTAAAGGTAAAAGTTAACTTGCAAACTACCACTACATGACATCACAAGGTGGAACAGAGCATTTTGAGCTTTGGGGATAAATATAAAGACAGAGATAAATAAACCAGGATTACTCAAAGATGTGTGAAGATTACGGCTAGGTATCATCAAGAAGTTGCCCATACGATACATTCCTCGATACAGTGAGTTTTCGATTTGATACGATTCAAAACGATATATTTCAAATCAATTTGATAAAAAAATAAAGCCTTACTCATAGTTGTGATACTAAAAATCTTTGTGAAACCACTTCTTGTGCAAAGTTCATATGAAACTAACCCATTTTAATCCTCAAAATAGTAAAATATGTCAAATTTGTTGCATAAAAAAGTTTCCTTCCTCCAAATAAGCAACAAAACTGTAGTGCTGCAACAAAATTATTTAGTAAAATAAACAAAAAAATTATGGTAAATTTTGTTAAACCACGTCTTGTGCAAAGTTCATATGAAACACAAACATTTTAATCATCAAAACCGTCAAAAGCATCAAAAGTGAAAATGTCAAATGTGTTGCATAAACGAGTTTTCTTCCTCTAAGAAAACAGCAAAACTGTAACGCAGTAACAAAATAATTGAGTAAAATAAACCAAAAAATACTCTTGGCGATATATCGATACAGCAGCCCACAATATCGATACTGTATCATCACATTAAACGATACGATATATTGGTATTTTGACATTTTTGCACACCCTTAGTGAAGAAAACAAAACACAACTCCAGGTGTGTGTTTATATTTTCCATTTTGTGTAATATAGGACCTTTATAAAAATCTACACAAAGCTTCTTCCAGTTTGAAAATCACTCAAGTATAGTCGCATTTGTGTATTTATATTTGCAAGCGTCGCACATTTTTTTCTTTAGCTACAAATATCCGCGCAGTAATCCCCCGGTCGCTCACGCAGACAGATCAGACGGCGTAACAAAAACGCGCTGCCCGGCTTTAGGAGTATTACGGTAACACGCTCACAATGCATTTTAATAGAGCACTTTCTCCCATTCAGACGTGCAGGTTTATTTATAGTGCTACTACAGCCGAGTGCTTCGTCAACAGAGGAGGGCTTAAACCGCAGGGAAGATAGGAATAAATCTCATTTGTACTTTACTGTAAACAACGGGGGGGAGGGAGGGATGGGGCGGGCGCAAGAGTAGTACTTCTAAATATTACTTCAGTGAACTATCGGCTGCAAAAAAAACAAAAACAAAACTCATATACAAAAGCTTCGATGTTATGGCCTTTCCTGGAATGTTCCACCGTATAAATAAAATGTGTCTATCTCCATGGAAACAAGCAAGTGAAGAAGTTACAGGTTAAATCTGTGGAGGTGACGCAGGTTTTTCTAGTTGTTTTTGTGCGCTGAATGCACCTGTAATAGAATAAATGCAAAACATACACGTTTAAAGACGACCCGTTGTGTTTTGATTAAGCAAATTAAATGAATATTCTGATTTAAAATGTCCAAAATGTCACAGTGTCATAAATTATAAAGACATAGTGAATACAAATATAATGTGTTCCTTAAAATTGATGGATTCTGCACAACTTCATGTGGGTAAGATGAACAGAAGGTTGGGCTAAGAGTTCTTTTCCAAGTTTTTTTTTTTATTTTCCAAAAGTTTTAAACCATTTTCCCAACACAAAAGTAGAATTACCCACCCACATGCTCCTCGACCACTCTCTCTCTCTCTTTCTCATTCTCCATCTCTCTTTCTCTCTACACCTTCTTTCTTTGCTTCTTCATCTCCCATTCCTCTCTCTTTATCTCTCCATCTCACTTTCTCTCTCCTCACTCTCGTCACTTTCTTTCTCTCTCCATTTATCTATCTTTCCTTCTTCTCTCTCTCTTTGTTCTCTTTACGTCTCACTCTCTCCATCTCTCTTCGCGCTCTGTGTCTCTTCATCTCTCTCTTTCTCTCTCCTTCTCTTTCTTTCCACTCTCTCCGTTCTCTTTCTCTCTACATCTCACTCTTTCCATCTTTTCCGTCTCTCTATAGCTCTCTCATTTCTCCTATCTATTTCTCATTCCTTTCTCTTTCTCTCCATCTCTTTGCTCTTTCTAATTCTCTCTATCTCCATCTCTTTCTCTCTCCTCTGTCTCTTCACTCTCTCATCTCTCCTCTCCATCTTTTTTTCCTCTTTGTTCTTTTTCTCTCTCCATCTTTCTTCGCTCTCCGACTCTCTCCATCTTTTCCATCTCTCTGTTTGCTCTCTTTATCTCTCTCTCTCTCCATCTCTCTTTGTCTCCTCTCTCTTCACCCCTTTTCTCTCTTCTTGTTCTTCACTCTCTCCGACTCTCTCCATCTCTCCTCCCCATCTCTCACCCCCTCCATCTTTCTTCACTCTCTCTGACTCTCTCCGTCTTTCCTCCTTCTCTCTCTTTCTCTCTCCTAGAAGAGAGAGGAGAGAGAAAGTAATGAAAGAGAAAGAGACGGATTCTGATTTTCTTTCATTACTTTCTCTCTCTTCACTCTTTCCCTCTACTCTCTTGGCTCTCACCATCTCTCCTCACCCATCTCTCTTCCCCTTCTCGTCTCTCTCCATCATTTTCCACTTTCTTTCACTCTCTCTTCATCTCTCTTTCCACAGACGTATCTCGTCCTGGGCAGCAGCACGCGAGTCGACCGCCTCCGAACAAACGAGCGCAGAGCCACTCAGCCGCTCCCATATTTAAAACTCCACTGAGCAATAATTGAAGATTGATAGGAATTTAATTATTATTGGGCTTAATTAAAATGATTAATATTAGTTTTAATCAAGAAGTGAGTGGGGGGGAAAAATGGCTTCTGACAATTTAATTAGTGAATGCAAATGTTGGCAGTTTGGAGTAGTCACCTGGAGACATGACACTAAAGCACAAAGGAGTCCAATAAGCAACGTATATAGGCCAAAGATGGTTTCAATTGTGTTTAAAATCCACTTTTTGAGCTTTTTACCGCGTCCGAAGAGGTTTTAGAAGTCATTCATCCATGTTTGAGTAATTTAGTGATCTCGTCCCATCTTCCTTCTATTTGGACTCACGCTCCCGTCTAAAAAAAAAAAAGTGACGCTACAATTTTTCTTTTCATTATTTACAACCAAATCCTCAAACTAGCCTCATTTTTCTAGTTATTTATATATTTGGTATCTTCCGTATGTGTCTAAAATGTAGAAAGTGGTAAGAAAAAAGAAAATGTATATCGTTCATATCGTTAAGAAGTGGCTGATACGATACATGCAGTACCTCGATACATAGGCCACGATACGATAGATATGTCAAAACCGTGAGCTTTCGATTCGATATGATATTTTTTCCAATCGATCCAATATGGTTCAGTTAAAAAATAAAGGCTAAATCATGTCTGTGATCGTAAAAGTCTTTGTTAAACCACTTCTTGTGCAAAGTGAATATAAAACACAAACATTTTAATCCTCAAAACACTGAAAATGTCAAATGAGTTTCCTTCCTCTGAACAAACAACAAAACTGTAGCGCTGTAACAAAATAATTTAGTAAAAATTACCAAAAAAAACAAAAACTCTTGCGATATAACAATACAGCAGCCAATGATATCGATACTGTATCATCACATTAAACGATACGATATATCGATATTTCAATATTTTTGCACGACCCTATATGTGATTAGTCTGATTCATCAGCTGGTTTCACTTCATGGAAACCGTCTGACCTCGCAGCATTAGATTTCGTTCGCTTGACAGTAGGTGGGTACTTTTTTTATTTAACCAATTGCTATTTGGGCATGACGTATGTAATGCAACACTAATGGGGTTAACTGGTATATTAAGCTTTTCCCAAATCCTGTAGGAAGAAGGACAATAATTTCCCTCTGATAAAATTCACCAAACATTCTCTTTGTTCCAGCTTTAAATCCTCGATCTCGGGAATCGTTCCCAACACAGAATGTACTATGGCTCTTCACTGATTGGCTGGTGCCCAGACTCTCACTTCCAGGGTTCTTGCAAACCGTCTAGTGTATTTTGACTCCTGACCTAGTCGCTGGAGAGAAATGAAATTGAGCAGAGGCACTAGGTGGCACCAGCCTGGCTAAAATGTGATGTTTTTTTATGTATCAAATGTAGAAAGTGGTAAAAACGTAGAAGAAAACTGAGTGAGAGGATCCAAACTTCAAATGAAACAGAAAACGTACACCAAAGTTCTTGTAGAGGTGCAAATGCAAGGAACAGCAACCTCAAAGTGAAAAAAAAAATGCATAGAACACTCAGATGGTCGGTGTCCAAAAGCTTTTTATTTAAATTTTTTTTTATAATGTTTTGGCAAAAAAGCCTTTGTCGATATTCGATATTTGTCTTGCTTTGGACTACAA